CATGCCCAGCTAATTTTTTGTATTTTTAGTAGAGATGGGGTTTCACCATGTTGACCAGAACGGTCTCGATCTCTTGACCTCGTGATCCACCCTCCTCGGCCTCCCAAAGTGCTGGGATTACAGGCATGAGCCACCGTGCCCGGCCCCTTCCTTTATGGTATCCTTTGGACAAACTGATGTTCTTATTTTTAAATTTTTTTAGACAGAGTTTTGCTCTGTTGCCTAGGTTGGAGCAGTGGTACAATCTTGGCTCACTGCCACCTCCACCTCCTGGGTTCAAGCAATTCTTGTGCCTCAGCCTCCCAAAGTGCTGGCATTATAGGCATGAGCCACCGTGCCTGGCCTGAGGTTTTTAATTTTAATGCAGGTAATTGATTAGTCTTTTATGGAGTTTACTTTTGATGTCTTAGCTAGAAATCCTACTTTTTTTTACCACCAAAAATCTGTTTTGTTTTGCCTTTCATATTTGTGTTGAATCCACTGAAATTGATTTTTGTGTGTGATGTGAGGTAAAAGTTGAACCTCATTCCCTATGCTTTTCTCCCCGGTGTATAACTGTTGACTATATCACGTATTGACAAGTCCTTCCTTTCAGCATTGGTATACAGTGCCTGTTATGTCATAAAATCATATTTCCAACACATCAACCAGTAGGTGTTGATCTATTTTGTGCATTATTTTTCAGTGATTGGTTTGTTAATCCCTGAACTAGTGTAATACTATCTTAATTTTAATTTGTTATCTTTTTGATTAAATGTATCAGATGCAAAGGTGCAAGTCAGAAGTAAAGCCAAAGTCTATCCACCATTTATCCTATTTTCATGTTTGATATATCTAGTTTCCAGAAAAAATTTAGATGTGCTTTTAGATCTCCTTATTATAACCAGAAGTAGTCCCATTTACTAGCAGATACACCATGCAGTCTAAGAATTATTCCTATTTTCACCATGTTTTTTTATTTGCTCAGAAAGGAAATGCCTCAGTAAGTACCTAAACCAGTCATTAGTTTGGGTTGAACTAAAGGTGTAATCATTTTAAAATCAGATTAAAAATATATCACACCAAAATCTATGACTTCACTAATGAATGTCTTCTAACAGTGGGTCTATATTCATGCAACTGTCTGATATTCAGAGTATAATATGCGCGCGTGTCCAGCCTGCAGGCCACATGTATCCCAGGATAGCTTTGAATGCAGCCCAACACTAATTCATAAACTTTCTTGAAACATGAGATTCTGGCTGGGCACAGTCGCTCACGCCTGTAATCCCAGCACTTTGGGAAGCCATGGCGGATCACTTGAGGTCAGGAGTTCAAGACCCTGACCAACATCTCCACTAAAAATACAAAACTTAGCTGGGTTTGGCAACATGCGCCTGTAATTCCAGCTACTTGGGAGGCTGAGGCAGGAGAATTGCTCGAAGCCAGGAGGCAGAGGCTGCAGGAGGCAAAGGCGGTGAGCTGAGAGACAGAATGAGACTCTCTCTCAAAAAAAAAATTTTTTTTTAAGATACCCATTTCCCCAAGTCCAACTTTGTAGACTGAATAGTCAGCAGCCTCACCTGTCTGTTTTTGAAAGCTGACTTTTCTCCCGGCTTTGTAACCATGCACTTTATAAGTATTTTTTGTGTTTTCTGTCATGCGATAGGACATAAATGTAAGTGAAGACTCACTACAAATATTTGAAAAGTGTATAGTCGGCCGGGTGTGCTGGCTCACGCCTGTGATCACAGCACTTTGGGAGGCTGAGGTGGGTAGATGGAAGTTTGAGACTGACGTGGTGAAACCCCTTTCTACTAAAAATACCAAAAAAATTAGCCGGCATGGTGGCACATGCTTGTAATCCCAGCCACTTGGGACGCTGAGGTAGGAGAATCTTTTGAACCTGCAGGCAGAGGTTGCACAAGTGGAGATTGCACCACTGCATTCCAGCCTGGGTGACTCTGTCTCCAAAAAAAAAAAAAAAGAGATTCAGTGGGATTAGAAGCAGAGCCTGACTCTGTTTGGGGTGGTTAGGATAGAGGTTAGAAGTAGGGTTGCTGCTGACATTGCAAGTCTCCAGAGTAGAGATACAGATCCTTTTGGTGTAGAGAGCAGTACTTACCAGGGCCAAGGACAGCAGCTTGGAGACTGCACGCTGAGGCGACAGGAGGAAGAAGTGGAGACCGTCTTGGTAACACGCTGGAGAGTTAGGAGAGTGATTTGTCACAGAGAGCTCAGAAAGGAGATTGGTGTTAGTGCTCACCAGTTTCATGGTAGAAGAGGAGCAGCACTGTCCCAGTTTGGGGAAAAGTCAGCAGGGCAAGAGTACACTGGGTGGCTGTGCAGGGTGATTTGGAACTTTTCAAAGCATTTGTGTGAAGGGTAATGGGAGAACTTCCTTGATATTAGCTATTTTCCTCATGGTGAAGATCATTGAAATACTTGCCTGTGAGTGAAGAATTACTTTTATTTTGTCATTAACATCAAAAAGTGGCTTCTATTTGAGAGCACACTGGTCTGTTTTATATTTTTTTTAGATCTTTTTAAAAGATTAGATTTGGTAGCCACATGGAAAATTACGGGCTTGATTCTAGTTTTAGAAATATTAATAAATGGAAGCAGACATTCAAGTTGTTTTTTGTTTTTTGTTTTTTTGAGACAGAGTCTCAGTCTGTTGCCGAGGCTGGAGTACAGTGGCATGATCTCAGCTCACTGCAACCTCTACCTCCCGGGTTCAAGTGATTGATTCTCCTGCCTCAGCCTCCTGAGTAGCTGGGATTACAGGTGCGCACCACCACGCCCAGCTTTTCTACCACACACAAAAAATATATATGTGCGTAGATACACACATGCACATACATATTTTTTATTAGAAAATCAAAAGTCATACACTGAAATTCAAGAGATGGCCAGGCACAGTGACTCCTGCTGTAGTCCTGGCACTTTGGGAGGCCAAGGTGGGAAGATTGTTAAGAGGCCAGGTGTTGGAGACCAGCCTAGGCAACAGGAGACCCTTGTTTCTGCAATAAATAATTAGCCAGGCAAGGTGGCACATGCCTTGTAGTCCCAGCTGCTCGAGAGGCTAAGGCAGGAGATAACTTGAACCTAGGAGTCAAGGCTGCAGTGAGATATTAGTGTACCACTGCACTGAAGCCTGTGTGACTGTGAGAGTGAGATCTTGTCTTGAAAGAAAAGAAAGGAATGGGTGAAGGGAGGACGTCACCGCACGTAGTTCATCTACATGCAGATGATAGGACCTGACTCTGGTGAAGGTGATATATTTGTTATGTAGTACATTGCATGCTTTGCTAAGGGCCATTTACATTGATTGGTACATGTCTTTTGGAAAGACATTTAGCAGTGGTTCAACCTCTCAGGATCTTGTAGGGAGGTCATCTAAGCGGTTTGCTTCCTCCCTACAACAGAGCTTTTGGTATAGTTGCATTTGAGTGATTATAAGGTTGATAAATTCATGTTGGGCTTTAGAAGGCATGCTGAATTTTGAACATGTTTGGTGTGAGTTAAAATTTGCCATAACTCTTAAGTACATTTGGCTTCTCTGTGAGGCATTTAAAATTATATCCCTTGATTTCTCAGTCATTTTCTGTTCGAATTCTTTTGCCCGAAATTGTGCATGGCAATAGATTCAGTTTCTGAGTTCTTTGGAACACTTAAAGATGTAATCCTAATAGGTGCTTCCTTTTCTGCTGTCCTTGGCACTCCCACCCACCCCCTTTCAAAGCACATATTAATATAATCAAGACTCTGAAAAGTCTAATAGTCAGATGAGACTTCTAAAACTTTAACCACTGGGTGCAACAGCACATGCCTGTAGTCTTAGTGCTTTGGGAGGCTGAGGCAGCAGCATTGCTTGAGCCCAGTAGTTCAAGACCAGCCTAGGTGACATGGTGAGACCCTGTTTCTACAGAAAAATTTAAAAATTAGCTGGGCATGGTGGTGTGTACCTGTGGTCCCAGCTACTTGTGAGGCTGAGGTGGGAGCATCACTTGAGGCTGGAGGCTGCAGTGAGCCGTTTTCATGCCACTGCACTCCCTCATGAATGACAGAGTGGGACCCTGTCTTAAATAAATAACAAAAACTAACAAAAACTTCAACCTAGTGTTTTTCTGACTTTGCACAGGAAACTCAGCCATTTATTAGCTATGTGAAGTTGTTGCACCTTTATGGGGTAGACTCTTTCATATGATGTGCGCGTTCAGAAACTGAGTTGGTAAAGCACTTAGCATGCTGCTTGGCACTTAAGAACCGGACATTGTACTGCTTTTGATGCAGATGTGTTCTTGACTTATAGTTTAATTTGATGATAGAGGCCAACAGATTCAAAACAATTACAAACTGTAATTGGGAAGGAGGGTCATTTGTGGGAGGCTTTGTGGAGAAAATGGGTTTGAAGGGAGCTATAGTGAGTTGGGTAGAACTTAGCAAGTTGGGAATGTCCGATCTACCCTCTGCGGGAGGACTGAGCTCATTTGGAAAAAAACCGGACCGCAGGTTAGAAGAAAGTCTTAAGTTCAGGCTTTATTGAGAGGAAAGAGCCTCCGGGCAGACCAGCCGGGAAGAAGAGGAAAATGGCCGCGCGCGCTCAGAGGAGCAGGGTTCTTTTATAGGCGGCTGAAGGGCCGAGGGAGTGGGAAGGCCAGGAGAGCCGAGGTGGCGGGCAATGGTTGGTCAGTTTAAACTGCCGGGCGGGGAAGCCGGGCAGCGGGAAGCCGGGCAGCGGGAAGCTGGGGAGAGCTGATGAGGCAGGTGGTGATTGGTCAGCCAGTTGTCGGACGGGAGGTGGCTGCAGCTGGGCGGGAAGGCCAGAACGGTATGTAGAGTGAAACATAAGGGAGCCTCTTTGTGTGTGTTGAGGGGGGAGAAGAGCTTTCATGACAGGGACAGAGTTTTCCAAACATTCCCGACTCCTTAAAGAAAAGAAAAGAGGGGGGTCAGGGGCGTCGGTTGTCTCTCTGGCTACTTCCTGCTAACAAGGGTCGACGGGGGGGGGGGGGGGGGGGTTTGAAGAGGTTTCTTTTCTTAAGGAGCCTGGATGTTCCGGGAGAGGTCTGCTTCTAGCACTTGTTTGGGGTAAGGTTGGAGCAGCATTTGGTGAATGGTGACTCGAGTTAGTTCTTGAAAGCGCCGTTGTAGGAACTGTAGAAAACAAGGAGCAATAAGTAAGATTAAGCAAATGGCTATCAGCGGCCCAAGCAATGGGGACAAGAGGGTATACATAGAGGAAGACCACTATGCTGTGGCTTCAGCTGAGAATTTTTGATTCTGCAGGTTAACTTTAAGTTTCTGGAGGTTCTCGATTCGGGTTTCTCCTAGGCCGGATTCATTAATGTAGTAGCAGCGCTCTTCTTGTAGGACGATGCAGGTTCTTCCTTGCTCGGCGGTGAGGAGGTCTAACGCCCGGCAATTTTGTAGGGCGACTTGAGCCACTGAGGTGATCTGTCTTTGGAGAGAGGCTAAAGATTCTGCAGAATTGTCGATGGTGGCCTGAAATTGAGAGGTTAGTCGTGCTAGGGCCTGATGGGAGTGGGCTAGGGCTCCTCCCCCCAGTCTAGCTCCTATGGCTGATCTGGCGAGAGAGAGAGAGACCTACTATGAGGGGTAAAAAGGCGGCCCGTCATACACGATGATGTATGAATTGTTGTTGGAACTCTGCTGGGGAGTAAATGGTTAATCGGGGTATGAGGGTTACTGGTAAGCATAGGCTGTGGGAGTGTGTAGAGGGGTTGAGGGTTTTAAAAAGTGCTCTGTTGCACCATAAAAAGGTTCCGTGAGGAGCGGTGAGATTGGTGATTATGGGTATAGTTCTGTTGCAGGTGGGAGAGCTGTTCCCATAGCAGGCTGGTATTTGCTGGTTTGGAGGTAGGTAGATAGAGGAGGGGGGTCTGGTGGTAGGGGGGAGGAGAGTAAGAAGGGCCGTCCGTATAGCAGCTCAAAAGGGCTGAGTTGTGAGGGGCCCCGGGGGCTTGCTCGGAGCCTTGTCAAAGCGATAGGAAGTAGGGTAACCTAGGACTGGCGGAGTTCGAGGGCAAGTTTTGTTAGGTGTTCTTTGATGAGGCCGTTGGCCTGTTCTACTTTACCCGAGGATTGGGGATGGTAGGCTGCATGCAGTTTCCACTGAATCCCTAAGGATGTGGAAACGGCAGTGGTGATCTTAGAAATAAAGGCAGGTCCGTTGTCTGACTGGATGGTAGAAGGAAGGCCGAATCGGGGAATGATGTCCCGGACGAGGTGCTCGGCTACAACTCCTGCGGTTTTATGAGCTGTGGGGAAAGCTTTGATCCAGCTGGAGTAAGGAAGAAGGGGAGATGTTACATTGCTGCAGGTCTGTTGCCAGGGCCTGGCTGAACAGGTGGGGGCTGTCCCGGAAGCCTTGAGGGAGGACCATCCACGTTAACTGTTGAGACAGATTGGTGACAGGATCTTTCCAGGTAAAAGCAAAGAGGAAGTAGGAGTCAGGGTGTAGCGGGATAGAGAAAAAGCATCCCTAAGATCTAGGACTGAAAAGTGGGTTGTGGACGGTGGGATATGTGAGAGGATGGTATAGGGGTTGGGGACTACTGGATGGACCGGAATGACTGCTGCGTTGATAAGGTGGAGGTCTTGGACCAGGCAGTACTGACCTGAGGGCTTTTTCACAGGCAGAATGGGAGTGTTGCAGGGGGAGTTTGCAGGAATGAGTAGTCCTTGAGCTTTCAGTTTATTTATGATAGGTAGGAGGCCGAGGCAGTGAACTTTGGAGATAGGAAACTGAGGGCGAGAAGGGAAGGCTGTGGGGTCTTTTAGGTGTATGAATGGTGTGAGGCTACAGTGGGGGTATCAGTATCCCATACTTTGGGATTTACGTCAGGGAGGAGTTTGGCCGTAGGAAGCGGGGAAGGTGGGTTGGCGATGAGGGGTAAGAGGAAGGTCTCTGTGTGTGGAAAAGTAATGGTAGCTTGCAATTTTACTAGGATATCTCACCCTAGGAGAGGTACAGGGCAAGAGGGAATGACTAGAAAGGAGTGGGTAAAAATGGAAGGGCCAAACAGACAGGTTAAGGGTGGAGTTTGGTGAGGAGTGGAGGGGGACCCATCAATTCCTATAACAGAGACCTGGGAAGGGGTGGTTTTGCCTGAAAAGGAGGGAAGAACGGAGTAGGTAGCCCCCGTGTACGCTCTTACCCGCTACCTGGAGCATGACCTTGGGCTCAGCAAGGGTAACTGAGGTTGAGGAGCCAGGGCCCTGTTAATCATCCCTGAACCCTAACAGCTTTGGGATTGGAGATTCCTGAATGCCTGGCTCCTGACCAGCTGAGGCAGAAGCCTGGCTCCGGGGGAATGTTACCCTGCTGACCCCTCGTGCCAGAGTTTTGAGGAACTGAGGCCTGAGGTGAGTTAGGGCAATCCGACTTCCAGTGTCCCATGAGGTGACAAATAGGTCAGGGCTTGGTAGGAGGCCATGGCTGGGGGCAGGCTTTTGACCAGTGCCCTTCTTTTCCACATTTGAAACACGCCCCGGGAGGGGTGCGGGTATTTGCTTTACCCTTGTTATTTCTGCCGGCCAAAGGGCTGCTACTAGGGCTTGGGTCTGTAGAGCGACTTTTCTGCTTCATGCGAGTTTGGCGGGCAGCCTCAGCCGCATCTTCCCTGGCATTGAATACTTTAAAGGCCATTTTTACCAAGTCCTGTATAGGGGTTTCGGGGCCATCTCCTACCTTCTTCAGTTTTTTCCAGATATCAGGGGCGGACTGAGATATGAAATGAGATGCTAGGACAGTCGCCCCGTTTTGTGAGGCTGGGTGTAGGCGAGTAAAGCAGGTAAGGGCGTCTTGAAGACGGGTGAGAAACAGGGCAGGGTTTTCATCGGGTGGTTGGGTGACTTCTCTTAGTTTATCATAGTTTACAACTTTGTTAAGATACAGTATCCATTCCCCTGAGGAGGTATCTAATCATGCGGTCTCTCTTGGGTATATCAGACCCTCGACTAGCCTGATAGTCCCATTGGGGGTCTTCACCTGGGATTACTTCGGGGCCTAGGGGGATCTGGTCATCTATAGCATGATCTTTGTCTGCTTGGTTTCTGGCTGCAGCTAGGATGCGCTCGTGCTCCTCTACAGTGAGGGTGGAGGAGCAGATAACGCGAATATCATGCCACGTGAGGCTGTAGGCTTGAGTGAGGTATTGGAATTCCTTAATATAGGTGGACGGGTCGGCTGAGAAGGATCCTAAACGTTTCTCAATTTGGGACAGGTCTTGGAGTGAGAAAGGAACATGGACCCTGACTAAACCTTCAGTGCCTGCTACTTCTCGGAGTGGGGCCAGGATAGTTGGTTGGTGAGAGCGGGTGTGGGCCGCCACTGGGGAGGTAAGAGGAGGTGCAGCCTCCGAGGGAGGGGGCCCAGAGGGAGTGGAGGAAGGGCGAGGCATGGCCTCTGAGGTAGGAGGTGCAGAGGGAGTGGGGGAAGAGCATGTTGTCGAAGGCGACTGGTTGCCGAGGTTGGTAGGAGGGGACAGATGTTCAGGCAGATCTTCCGGTGAGGAGCAGGGAGAGGGAGAGGTAGTGGAGGAAGATTTACGAGGGGTACGAGCTAAGAGGATTTGGTAGGTGGAGCAGGAAGAACATAGGTCAGGGTGGGTACGGAGGTCCCAAAAAGCCTGAACGTAAGGAATTTCATTGTCTTTGCCCATGCGGCGACAAAAATTGTCAAGATCTCGGAGGGTGTTGAAATCGAAAGTGCCAGTTGGGGGCCAATGTGACTGGTTACTGAGTTTGTATTGGGGCCAAGCCACCTGGGACAGGAAGACAAGCTTTTTCTTTCTGAGGGTTTGGGAGTATACTCTGAATTTCCCATGGCGGGCACAGCTACAGACCCTCCGGCGCGGTTGGGTAGATGCAAAGAAAAGGCGTCCCCTTTCGTTGCAAATTCCCCGGAGTACAGTTAAGTACGGTTAGGGAAGCAGTCAGAGGGGCGTCCCCCGTCTGGCAGCTACCCCTCAGAAGGCTCCTGGAGCCGGAACGGAGGACTTCCTCGGCTCGGCCGAGACTAGGCGAGGAGTCGGTGCGGAACGCCGGAGGGGAGCAACTGCACCGTGCCATAGGAGGAGGAGAAGGAAAGTGGGGGTAAAGCAAGAAAAAGCTTGGCTTACCTTAATCAGAGCGTGGAGGTGGCAGGGCTGGTGTTGGGTAGGTCGGGGGAGGGGGCCGTGGCCGGGCCAACGGCCCCAGCTCCCAGGTTTTCGGCACCACTTGTCCAACCTACCCTCTGCGGGAGGACTGAGCTCATTTGGAAAAAAACCGGACCGCAGGTTAGAAGAAAGTCTTAAGTTCAGGCTTTATTGAGAGGAAAGAGCCTCCGGGCGGACCAGCCGGGAAGAAGAGGAAAATGGCTGCGCGCGCTCAGAGGAGCAGGGTTCTTTTATAGGCGGCTGAGGGGCCGAGGGAGTGGGAAGGCCGGGAGAGCCGAGGTGGCGGGCAATGGTTGGTCAGTTTAAACTGCCGGGCGGGGAAGCCGGGCAGCGGGAAACTGGGGAGAGCTGATGAGGCAGGTGGTGATTGGTCAGCCAGTTGTCGGACGGGAGGTGGCTGCAGCTGGGCGGGAAGGCCAGAACGGTATGTAGAGTGAAAGATAAGGGAGCCTCTTTTTGGGGCGGGGGGGAGAGCTTTCATGACAGGGACAGAGTTTTCCAAACAGGGAAGTCTGGCAATCTTAAGTTGTTTCTCTGAATATCCTCAAATGTTTGTAAATTTCCAAACCACTGGGTTTTTAAATCTTCTCTTATGGATTCTAGATTTAACGTAAGTTGAACGACATTTGAACTATTGAAAAATCTAAATTAATGCTGTCCAATAGAACCTTCTATGATGATAAAGATACAGCTGTGCTGTTGAGCTTGCAGTGACTAGCCACGTGTGACTTGAGATGTGATTAGCATGACTGAGGAACTAAACTGTAAATTGTATTTAATGTCAATTAATTTACATCTAAAATTAAATATCCCCGCATGGCTTCTGAGCTACCATAATAGACAAATTCAAAGCAAGCTCAGAATGAAATAGGGATTTGTTGCCAAAGAAATCTAAGATGAATAAAACCTTCTAACAGTTAATTCTTTTGTATTCATAAATTGACTGTATAATGTTGTTTGTTTTCTTGTAGGTCTCCAATTGAGAAACATGGCACTGTTTTTCCTGCACTCTACCCACCTATTGCTGGACTTCTGTTGTACAAGTTGGCAAACACTGGCTGGAACTGGGCTGCAATAAAACATGCCAGTTATCAGTGCTGACAAGAGCCTAACAAGTGCCAACTCACAGATGATTACACATTTTGAATTCTAATGAACTGTTTTAACCTTCAGGAAGAATTGTAAAGACCTGTACATAGCACAACATGATCCGGATAATATATATACTGTTCATGCACATCCACAGATACACCTTGTACCAAATAATGCTTTCTTGTAGTAGAATAAGAATCGTGTACATTCTAAAAGATTTTAGCAGGTTTTCTTTCCTATTCATTGTTTCTTATCAGTTTAAAAGGACTCCTTTAAGCATGTCAGATGAAAAGCAATTAGGATTAAAAGTTTCCATTTAATTTCCCTTAACCCATTGAGGCTTCATTAAACTCTTTTCACTTACTAAACTTTTGTATCTTCTTTGTTTTGACACACACCCTTTGCTTTTCTCTCTTCTGTCTACCAGAATGTTCTCAAATCACTTAGTTCAAATACTGAAATACTTAATGAGCAATTACTTGATCTTTAATGATGACTTGGAAGGAGTCATCACTAGGTGCTTTGTCCTTTTTGTATTCCGGTTGCACCCACCTCTTGGATTGGATGTAGCAATAACATTTATTGGCTGTTATGAGCTCTTGATCCCAGTCATTACCCCCGAGAATGAAAAACAGATGGTTCTTAATTCAGCTTACTGAAAATGTCCCCAAACAATAGCAAATCTGACTTTCCCTTCCTTCGGTTGCCTAATATTAAGGTTGGATAAATGAAGCATGCACAGCTACAGGCTTTCTACTTTACCTCTGGGTTTGCTGTTCCAAATGCTATTTACTCTCATATCCTTCTCTTTAGTCCTTCATCTTCCTTTGCCTCTATTCTTCTCTACTGCAGAATTTTCTCGCCTATTGTACAAAGAAATTGCGATGTATATTTTCATGTAATTTGATTTTGGAATTCTGTCACCTTATGTAGTGAGTTCTTCCAAAATACAATTTTTTTTTTCAATAATTGTCAAGTTGTTTGTTGGCTTTTATTGTATTGAATGAAGGCTATAATACTGAATGCCAGAGAAGTGGTTTAGAAAACTCTCAGGTTGATTCCTTATGCAAACAAACTTAATACTTGAAAATCACATGGCCATGGCAGTATATGTATTTGGTTCTATCTAGATTCTTCTGTGAATCTAAAAGCATTACAGGGGTAAATGCTTTGCTATTTGACGTATAGATCCTGTCACTAACCATAGTACACTTGGATTTGATTAATGTTTGAGCTGAAATATATTTCATATCATACAGTTTTCTAAAACAGCTTCAGCAAATGATAAAATGAACATGTGCAGTGTTAAAGGCAGGCCCTGGGCTCCTTTATGTTTGTTGTGAGGTGGTGTGTGGGAAGTAGTCTTCGGCTTCTAAGGGATAGAACTTGAGACGGTAGCAGATGGGACATGTGTTTGTGAGAATCAGTGAGAATTCGTGCATCTCTGCTTTGTGGGGTTTGGGGAAATGCTTTGGCAGAAAAGTGAAAGAACTCCTGCCAATAGCCCAGACCTCTACAAATGCTGTATGTCCTTTTTTAAGCAGAAATAAAATGGTTGAGGATGTAGTCACAGTAGCGAGTGATTTTTTTCCAAATCCCTGTCTGTTCTCTACTCTGAAGCATTGTAAAAACCCATAAACATTATACAAACCTTATAAAACTTGTAAATGTGTTGTGACTGGAAATTGTTTGATTCATTGGAACCCAATTTCCTTCAAGAACTTCGTGACTTGGTCTGTTTTTCAAAGATTCTAAAAATTGTTACCCCAAAATATCAGCACTGCAACCCCACGGGACTTGGAATGCAATTCCTTTTACTTTTTTTTTTTTTTTTTAAACTGGGTGTCTCTGTCATTCAGGCTGGAGTGCAGTAAGAACGATCATAGCTAACTACAGCTTTGACCTACTGGGCTCAAGTGATCCTCCTGCCTCAGCTTCCTGAGTAGCTAGGACTACAGGTATGTGCTACCATGCCTGGCTAATTAAAAAACTTTTTTAAAGAGATGGGATCCCTCCCTTTTTACTCTTAAGTCAGAAATTGTTCACATGGTGTTTGCTTGTGGCAAAATGGAGTTCGAATTTTGATCTCCTATTGCTGTAATTCTGCTAGCAATCTATTGAGGTGAAACTTGGGATTTGACTCTTCAGCAAGCAGCAAATGACCTAGTAACTCAGGGACAACTATTTTTGAACTTTAAGTGCCACTTTAATGCAGTTCCTTTGATAAAACCATGTGGTTTTTTTTTTTTTTTAGGGCTAGCTCTAGGGGAATGGAAGTGAGAGCCAGGAATGAGTGTGTCTCTCTTCACGTGCTTTATCACCCGGTGCCCTGATTGTGCCACACACTGAAACACAGGCCCACGGTAGATGTTACAACTTCCCTTCCTCTGTCAGAGATGTCATCTGTGCCTTTCTCAGTGTTCATCTGATGATGTAAATTTAAATGCCTCTACGTTTGATATGAAACCCACACTCAGATGACACTGAATCAGGTGGCTTTTGCTCCACCGGCACCTCATTATCAGTGTGAGGTGATTCTTTGCTTTAGGAAAAGGATTTTCCCCCAAAACTTGTGCCAGCATCTCCCTAGATCAGGATTATAGAACTGTTGGCCATTTCCTAAATTCATTCCAAATTCTTGTAGAGGCATATAGATTTCAGGCTGTGCTCGTATGGGATAGATGATCTCAGTGGCTTTTTGGCCTCTTGAGTTTAAAATCCTTGTCATTATAAGGTAATATGTTTGTGAGGTTATTCCATTAGTACTGTGATCATGTGGGTGTCATCGTATCTTTAACGGCCTTCATTCTCGGTTGTGAAATTTAATTTTACATGCTCATTCACCCTCTACAGATCTGCCCGCTTTGGGCTGTGGTGCCTCTGTGTATCTTTGCCCCTCTGGTCTCCAGTTGGTGGAATTACCTATTTTGTACTGCCACTTCTCAGCATCTTTGAAATCTGACGTAATGTTGCTTCATTCCAGTTTTTTTTAGTTCTGTAATTTGTTGATTGTATTTAACTATGTGAGTTCTGTTGTGATGTTTACTGTATTGTAAAGCACCTCATTCATGCGATGGGTGCTCTAAAATCAATAAATGATGACTTAGAGGCTGTATCATGAGCTATTTTGGTTTTAGGATGCAGGTCTCAAAACCAAGTTGTGGGATTCTTTCTGTATAAACAGTACATGATACCAAAGGGACCACAGGGAAACCTTGTATTTTACAAACTTTATTTAAAGAAGGAACCAGAGAAGTTAACTTGCCTTCCAACCTGATAATGATGCTCTTTAGATTTCCAGTACGTGGCCAAGCACGATTTTAAGTCAGAATTTGTGTGCATGGTGATTTAGAACCTTAAAGTGAGCACATACTAGAACATTATTGGGGATTTTGTCTTCGGCCTAACCTGGCTCTACCATAAAGATAAGCTAAAAGGTGAGGAACCCAGACCCCAGTGTGGACTGGAGGAGACTAGGCATCATCAGTCATCACCTTCTGTCCTCTCAACAGATGGGGAAACACCCAAATACCTGCCCAGGGCCATATAGTAAGTTACTGACGAAAGAGGCAAGACCTAGTAGAGTGCCTTCTTTTCTTTACAAGATGGGGTACTAGCATCCACTTTTTATCCTGAATCCTACAAACAGTCATTCGGAGTTAGCATTAGGTATGAAAGCTTGTTTGTCCTTGATATAAATCACTAGTAGGCTGCTAGGGCCTCTTACAAACTCTGAGAAATGAACATGGAGCCAGAGGTCTTACTCAGCTAAATAATAAACAAGAAAATCCCCCGAGAGAAGTTTTGGGGAAATCAAGGATTATTTCCAGAGTGTAAATTCCCTGATAAATATATTTAGAATCAACTGTTGTGGAAGGGTCTAGATGATACATCAAACTTACATCAGTTAGAGACATAATCAGGGTATTGGCCAAAACGTTTCATTTGCATGCTGCTTTAAATGCAAATGAACAGGTTTTTGATGGTGTGTGCAAGGCACTAGGATCCAGGAGAGATGTTGCTTTTCCGCTCCCTCATGGGATAGGGCTAATAACCACCTTATCACAAACCCTTTTGCTTTGGTGAGGCCTACAACCCTACCAGGATTCAGTTCACAGATCAAATTCTTTTCTGGGTGTGGCATTTCAGTTCAGTTTCAGATGTGTGTAATCTGGCTGCCAAGGTAGAATTAGCCTTTTTGGCTTGTTGGCACTCCTCACTGAGCTTTAGTGACTTGGTTAAAAGAATTTGAATTCTGTTCACATAGGTAAATAAACTGAAGGAAAAGCCTTTCACAAAAGGCAGCCGGACATCTTCTAAGACAGGAGCTGCACAGAAAGTCCTGGGCAAGACACTTGGTTTTTTTCCCTCTTCTCCGCAGTATCCAGTAGGAATAAATACACCAGCACCTTTGTGTTCACAGTGAATTCCATTTATTCCCAACAAGAGCACTGGAAATCAAGTTCCTATTCGTTCTCTTTTGCGGCAAGCTTGTGCTGTTTTTCCTAAACATTCTAGTTTAATTCTTCTAAGAAGCTTCCACAGTAATTATCTGCCATAAGGAAGCAGGTTCAGGCTGATTTGCTGTCGCTGTAAAGCACACAGGTTACATGGCTGGGATTCATTCCGACCGCCTTCCTTACGTACTGGGTGCTGTTAGCCCTTCACAGGTGAGGAGACCAGAGCTCAGGAACACTGACTTTTCTAGGGTCATCCAGAGACTGGATGTGTTGAGCCTGCTGCTTGACCCAATTCATCGGTCTCCCAGTGTAAATTTCCTCCTCTTCTTGCCCTGCCATGATAGCTCACTGCCTACCGAGTCTGTTCCCCTGCGCTCTTGAAGCTAAGGCAGACAGCATTTATTACCTTCCTCTTATTCATGCTCCTTGCCTGAGACAGCACCACACTACATTCCTCTGAATCTGACTGGCAAAACCTGAAGTGAGTCTAAAATGGACCATGTTCAGTGCTCAGCTCTTTCAAGATGTCTGTATTTCTGGTTATAGCTAATGTTATAGCTCCCTCCAAACCTGTTGGGTGTTGTAGTTTACTGAGTACTACAAGTACTTTATTTCGCAGGCTTTACTTACGTTCTCTGTTACTCAGGGGTTACAAGCCTGTAAGAGTCCCCTCAAAAGACAAGGGCCTGCCGGGCACGGTGGCTCACGCCTATAATACCAGCACTTTGGGAGGCTGAGGAGGGTGGATCACGAGGTCAGGAGTTTGAGAACAGCCTGGCCAATATGGTAAACCCCGTCTCTACTAAAAATACAAAAATTAGCTGGGCATGGTGGTGGGTGTCTGTAATCCCAGCTGCTCCAAAGGCTGAGGCAGGAGAATCACTTGAACTTGGGAGGCAGAGGTTGCTGTGAGTCGACATTGTGCTACTGTACTCCAACCTGGGCGACAGAACAAGACTCTGTCTCCCCGCTCCCCCGTCAAAAATAAAAAACAAGGGCTCAGGGATACCATGAAGTCCCCTCTAAAGGGGTACATTCGCCTCTGGTAGAGGGCTCCTTAGAGCGAGGTTGGGATGAAGAGGCAGTCAAGCCCCTGAGCTCATCCATCCCTTCAGGTGAGTTCTTTGATCATGGGCATCTAGTCCAAGCACGCTCTGAAAGGGCACACGTTTGTTTATTCCTGCACGTGTGCTACTCAAAGGGAGAGGCCTCTGGTTTTCATCAAATTCTCAAAGGGGGTTATGGCCCTCCAAATCTTTAGGAACCATGAGTTCTAGTCCAATTTCCTCGTGAAACTGAGGTAGACTCAGATGCGTCATAAGGCTGGCAAGGACTTGCCCATAATCAACACAGCAAGTCAGCTGCAGAGTCAAACCCGAACTCGGGTCCCCACTCCCAGAATAGCACACCATGGAAAACACCTCTTCAAACATTCTGAGCACCTGCTATATTCCAGACTCTAGCTAGGCTGGTGCGGCTGAGGTTAATGACAGTCATCATGCCAAATCAGGAATCGGCTATGACAGGACTACAACTTTCATGTCGTTTTTACGTTACGACCCGGGCCATATTTGCAGGGTACTCCACGATAAACAGACGAGGCTGCTTGCTCTGTAGGTCCCAGAGGCTCACCGTTGGGCACACCTATAGACCATTCTCAACAGAGAGGGACGCTTGAGTGACGGCACTTCCACGGAGCCTGGCAAGTTGTCCCCTACCCTTCTTTTTGCCTCAGTGTGGCTGGCTCAGGGCAGCTCCAAGCACCTCCCTACCCATACCACCTTCGCGCCTTTCGTCTCCTGCCACAATCAGAAGGCTTACATATTTCAACAACGTCTCTCATCTCCCAGGTATCTGTCAACCAGAATGCCTACGCTTCAAAAACGACTCCCGCGGAGTCCAGCTCACCTAACCCCCTCAGCTTTCATTCAGCCCTTTCCTCCCCTCGGCTCCACCCTTTGCCGCTCCTCCCAGGATTCTCGCGAGACTTGGTGCCTCGGTTCCGCGCCGCCCCGGCTCTTCCGCGCACTTCTCGCGAGGCTGCGGGCAGTGCCGGGTCAGACATGGCGGAAGGTAAGGTTTCTGTGGAGCCGCGCTGGAAGACGCGGAGCTGTGGGGGCGCTGCTGGCCGGGCGAAGCTTCCCTGGGAGGGGACGGCCGGGCGTGGTTGCATGGGGGCCCCGCGCGTCTCGCGAGCCTTCCTTTCCAGCCTCTCCAGACCTCCGCGGGCCGGGGTCCGGAGTTCGGTTCCTATGGCAACGCCCCTCCCGCGATACGGACCCAGCGGGACTGCGGTCGGCTGCGGAGCGGAGCTGGGAGGTCCCCTGTCGGTGCTGCGTGCAACCGCGGAGCCGGAGGGCAGCGGAGGAGGCTCTCGAGTGACGGGACGCCGGGGGAAGTAAGCCTTCTCCTAAGGAAATCGAAACTGCTGTCCTGGCACGTCTGCATCCGGAAGGGGTCCGGGTCCATCCCTCGCCTGCGGAAGAGCGTGGGACTCCTCGGGTTGGGTTGGGCTGGGCTGGCCCACGCGGCAGGCGGGCGCGCTGGCGGCTCCGGCTCCGCAGGCGTACTGATGAAGACGGGAGGAAGGGGTTTGCGGGAAGGGAGTTGGCCAAGGTCACACTGCTCGGTAGAGGGCCGCTCGGACCAGACCTCTGCGCCTTTGCCTCCCAGTCCAGTGCCCACCCTCTGGTCTGGTGCACTTTTCATGACATTGCAGGTTAAGGCACTCTGGTCTCTCAGCGTCGGCCTCCCTTAATGTACCATTAATTAGAAGTCTTCATTGTCAACGCCTCATTGTACACGTAGGGGGAAAGAAGGCCCAGAGACAGGGAGTTACTTTTTAAGGACCGTGCAGTGACACTGCTGGGTCTGACCAGCACGCTTCTCCTCTTTACCCCATCATTGGAGAAAAAAAAAATTTTTTTTTTTTTTTGGAGTCGGAGTTTCGCTCTTGTTACCCAGGCTGGAGTGCAATGGTGCGATCTCGGCTCACTGCAACCGCCGCCTCCTGGATTCAAGCAATTCTCCTGCCTCAGCCTCCCAAGTAGCTGGGACTACAGGCGCGCGCCACCATGCCCAGCTAATTTTTGTATTTTTAGTAGAGACGGGGTTTCATCATGTTGACCAAGATGGTCTCCATCTCTTGACCTCGTGATCCACCCGCCTATTATAGGCGTGAGCCACCGCGCCCGGCCTGAAAAATATTTTTTATTTGACCTTTGTTTATTGAGTGACTGCAGTGTGCTTGGCCACGACCTGTCCTGTTGGTTTTGAGCTTTGACTGAACCCTTCACTTAATGGATCTTAGATTTGGGCACACATGACAGTTGGTAGTCTTTTCTCGTTTGCATTAGACTTCAGAACAGCCTCGTGAAGGAGGCCGGGCGTGTGCATTTGCCCTTTATTGATAAAGGAATGTAGGCAGAGTTACAGAGATAGCTGGGACTGGCATGCAGTTGGTTTTGGGATGTGCGTGTGTGTGTTTTGAGACGGTCTCGCTCTGTCACACAGGCTGGAATACAGTGGCGCTTCAGCCTCCTGAGTAGCTGGGACCTTGGCCGCTCAACACCACACCCGGCTGATTAAAAAGAGTGTGTGTGTGTGTGTGTGTGTGTGTGTGGACACGGTCTTGGCGCAGTGTTGTGGCTCATGCCTGTAATGTCAACGCTTTGGGAGGCCGAGGTGGGAGGATCGCTTGAGGCCAGGAGTTCAAGACCAGCCTGGCGACATGGCGAAATCTCGTATCCACAAAAGAATACAAAAGTTAGGCAGGTGTGGTGGCACGTGCCTGTAATTCCAGCTACATGGGAGGATGAGGCACGAGCTACTAGGGAGGTGGGAGGATCGCTTAAGCCTGGGAGGCGGAGGTTGCAGTGAACTCCACCAGCCTGGGCGACAGAGCGAGAGCCTGTCTTAAAAAAGAGAGAGACTAGGCGGAGCGCGGTGGCTCACGCCTATAATCCCAGCACTTTGGGAGGCTGAGGCGGGTGGATCATGGCAGAATCTTCTGCCTGATTTCCAGGCAGAGTCTTCTGTTTTTACATGTGAATGTTAACGGTTGCAAAACAATAAAATGACTTTTATATTATGTTTAAAAAAAGACTAGGTCTCATTATGTTGCCCAGGTTGGTCTTCAACTCTTGGGCTGAAGCAGTCCACCTGCCTTGGCCTGTCAAAGTGTTGGGGTTACAGGCGGGAGCCATCGTGCTTGGCAGGCACTCTTTTTGTCTTTGCTTTTTATCCCTCCCTGGACGGGGAAACTTTTGGTGAAATGTTGCCTGAAAGCAGAGAAGTAAGAAAAGGAGCAAAAATCTAAGGCATTCCCTGAAGTTACTTTTTGGGTAAATCACAGAGTGTTGTTTTACGCAGCAGACAGCTGTTGCCCACAGAAGTGGGGTGCATAGAAAGGTTCAGGAAGGCCTTCTGTGAGGTAATGGATAGTCTGGCGCTTTTACACTAGGAAGGTAAGTTGAGTGTTTTGGGAATACGTTACCAAGGTTGAGATTGTGGAGGGCGGCTGGTTTTTCACTCAGCAGTTTCACTCACACCTGCTGTGCTTTGCAGTCAGGTTCCAGCCCTGAGGAGCCATAGGCTGAGTCAGTATACTCATCATCCAGCAAGTGCCTTGAGAGACATCTTGCCAGTGGGGTATCTCTCCTTAAAGACACAAAGAAAACATCCTTTCAAGGTTAAATTAGCAGAGAGAGAGTTAGGTAAGCAGTCATGAAGTTTTGGCTTTGCAGTCTTTTTTTTCTCTTTTCTTTTCTTTCTTGATGGAGTCAGAGTCTCATTTGCCTAGGCTGAAGTGCAGTGGCGCGATCTTGGCTCATTGCAACCTCCACCTCCCGGATTCAAGCGATTCTCTTGCCTCAGCCTCCTGAGTAGCTGGGATTACAGGCACCCACCATCATGCCTGGCTAATTTTTCTATTTTTGTAGAGACGGGGGTTTCACTAAGTTGGCCAGGGTCTTGAACTCCTGATCTCAGGTGATACGCCTGCCTCGGCCTCCCAAAGTGCTGGGATTACAGGCATGAGACACTACCCCCGCTGAAGTTTTTCTTTCACCTTTGCCATTACCTTTGTTGCAGTTTCCCCTTTTACCTTTTTAGTGTCCCAACTTTTTGTTGGGATTTAAGCTTTTTAGAAACAATGTTGCAAACTTCCACTAGGAGGCAGCTGGGCCATATTTAGCTCATTAACTTGAAGGTGTTTGTTAGGTAGGAAATAATTCCTGGGATATTAATACTGCTTGTGCTTTAACCAGATTCCCAGAGCCCACTATGCTTGTTTGCAGAGACACATTTAAATATAAATAAATAGCAGATATTTATTCATATTTAATATTTTTTTATATTTAATATTATTTATGTAAATAAAATTAATGTAAATAAAAATATATTTATATTTAAAGGAGGGCACTGTCATATAATGGTTGAATAATCTGTAAGCACACTCAATGGGAACATCCCTGATAGTGGTTGGTTGGTAGTGTGAGAATGTCGGAGATGGTGCCTAGGAATAGTAAACAGAACCTTGAGAGAGTTGGGTATACAGCTGCTTTTGTGGCTTGTTTAGAGAACAACCTTCTTTCCTTCCATCTATCTATGGCTATTGATTGGACCATATATATTTAACTGAAGTCTGTCCTAAAATTAGTTTTACTTCCCCACTCTAGTATGCAGTGGCTAACCTGCTAATCTAAGCTTCATTTGTAATCTTTTTTTTTTTTTTTTTTTGAGACGGGATCTCACTCCGGGCACTGGCATAATGACAGCTCACTGCAATCTCCATCTCCCGGGCTCAAGTAATTCTCTCACCTCAGCTTCCCAAGTAGCTGGGACTGCAGATGTGCGTGCCACCACATGCAGCAAATTTTTGTATTTTTTGTAGAGTTGGGGTTTTGCAGTGTTGTCCAGGCTAGTCTTGAACTCCTGGGTTCAAGCTATTCGCCTGCCTGGGCCTCCTGAAGTGCTGGGATTACAGGTGCAAGCCATTGCACCCAGCCCTAAGCTTCCTTTGTAACTCAGCTACTTCAAGTTTCCAGTTAAAGTTGCTTTTTACTTTTCCTCCTACATTTTGCTTTCTCACAGTCTGATTTCACAGTTTCTAGTGTTCCCTTTAAAATATGAATCAGATCATGTCTCCCACTCTTCTTAATACTCCTGCCCCTCAGTGCCCAACTCTCACAGTTCTCCCAAGGACCTTTAAGTATTAACAGGGTCTGGCCCCCGCTGAACACATCCAGCTTCTTTTCTACTGCCCATTCACTGTGCCCCTGCCAAACTGCCTTCCTCGCTGTCCTTTGTACGTGCCCAATATACTGCTACCTCTGGGTCTTTGTTCCAGCAGTTCCCTTGGCCTTCAACAGCTTGCCATTGTCTCCACACAGCTGACGCCTATTTTCTTCATTCAGTGTCTGTTCAGTTGTCATCTCATTAGAGAGCTTCCCTCCCTGGAATGTAAACCCTATGAGGGCAGGGACTTGTTCTGTTTTGCACACTCCTGTATCTCGCAGCTTAGAATCATGCCTGTGGTTGAAGGAATGTGGTGATCGTTATTGAGCATCACCTGCTAGCCATCAAGAAAAGTTGCCTGAAAAAAAAAAAAAAAAAGAAAAGTTACCTGAAGTTACCTGGATACATCCTTAGCCTCTTGTCAGGCAAACTGGCTGGTCCAGCCTTTATTATGCTTTGGATAACATAAGTCTGCTAAGGGTTACCTAGTCTACTTTTCATCCAGCCCATTTTTGGTTTAGCAACTAAAATATAATGTTTAAGGCCGGGCACCGTGGCTCACGCCTATAATCCCAGCACTTGGGAGGCCAAGGTGGGCAGATCACTTGAGGTCAGGAGTTCCAGACCAGCTTGACAAACATGGTGCAACCCTATCTTTACTAAAAATACAAAAAGTTAGTCGAGCATGGTAGCAGGTGCCTGTAATCCCAGCCACTCTGGAGGCTGAGTCAGGAGAATCACTTGCACCCTGGAGGCAGAAGTTGCAGTGAGCCAAGATCGTGCCACCGCACTTGTGTCGAGCCTGGGCGGCAGAGACTGTCTGAAAAACTAGTAATAATAAAATAGGATTTAACGTTTCAGAGCTTAGACTCTGCAGCGGGACATGGGTTTAAATCCTAGCTTAAGATGTGATTGTAAGTCAATTAATTGCTCTCAGTCTCAGTGTCCTCAGCTTTTTTTTTTTTTTGAGACTGAGTCTCGCACTGTCATCCAGGCTGTAGTGCAGTGGTGCAGTCTTGGCTCACTGCAGTCTCCGCCTCCTGGGTTCAGTCAGTTCTCCTGCCTCAGCCTCCTGAGTAGCTGGGACTACAGGCGTGTGCTACCATGCCCAGCTAATTTTTTTGTGTTTTTAGTAGAGACAGGGTTTCACCATGTTGGCCA